ATAGTGCAACAATGAATGAATGGAAACCCAAAATCTCTGTAAATGTTTATGAAAATTAATAAAATATAATTATAGAAAAAAAAAGAAAGAAAGAAGCAGCTTGAGACTGTAGGGCAGTTTTATTCTCTGCTTAAGGGTCATTATGAATTAGAATAGACACAATGGCGATGGATCTTTGACCTATTCCTGTGGATTTCCCTGCTTGACAGAGATTGAGCTCTTTTAGAAAAAATGTAGTAGGTCAAATTTGGGAAACAAAAAAAATGTACTTAAAATAATGATTGTAATTCACTGCATGTTTCATAATGAATATGACCTTTTTAAAAATTACTCTATACTTGCTTGTTTACTTTCTGCTCTTGACAAGCACTTGCTTGTCAGTTGCTGCACCAAATTGGAGCTCCTAGATTTTAAGACAAACTAGGACGAAGGATTAGTCAGCCACTTCTAAAATAGCAGGCATTTGAAAATTCTATTAAATATAGAAACACAGTTTGATACAGCACTAGATGTAGAATCCTCAGATTAAAAGACACTAGTAAATGAGGAGAAATAACTGCAAAAATCGACTATCAATTGGAACATGGAACGTACAAAGTATGAATTTAGAAAAACTGAACATTGTAAAAAATTAAATAAAAGGTGTTAAGATTGACATTCTTAGCATTAGTAAGCTGAGAAAGACTGATATTAGCCACTTTGAATCAGACAATCATATGACTAATTAAGGTGGGAATGAAAAATTAAAGAATAATTCATAGTCATAGTATTGCATTCATAGTCAAAACCAACATAGCAAGATCTATCTTAAGTACAATGCTATGAGTGATAGGATATTATCCCTACATGTGCAAGGAAGACCTGTTATATAACTATTATTCAAATACACACCAGCAACTAAAGCCACGATGAGTAAATTAAGGATTTTTACTAAGTTTTGCAATATGAAATCAATTGGACATGCAATTAAGATTCATTAATAATAATTGGTGATTAGAAAGCTAAAGTTGGAAATAAAGAAGAAAGACAAGTAGTTACAAATTACAGACTTGGTGACAGAAATTAATGTGTAGATCAATGATTGAATTTTATATAATCTATGTTTATTCATGGAAAATATCTTTTATAAAATTCACAAACAGCAACTACATATATGAACCTCATCTGATGGACCAAGCTGAATACATCTGTGAAAAGAATCTTTAGAGAAACTTAATATGAGTTGTGAAAACCAGGCCAACCACTGACTGTGGAATAGACAATCAACTACTCATATGCAAGTTCAAATTGAAGCTAATGAAAATTAAAACAAGTCCATAAGAACCAAAATATGACCTTGAGTCTATCCCACTTTAATGTAAAAATCATGTCAAGATTAGGTCTGAGGCATTGAATACTGGGACCAAAGACTAGATGAGCTGTGGGATGACATCAAGGATAACATCTATAAAAAGAGCAAAATGTCATTACAAAGACAGGAAGAAAGAAAAGACCAAAATGGATGTTAGGAGAAACTGAAAATTGTACCAGAACATTGAGAAGCCGAAACAAAGACAGGGAACAAAAAGTAAAAAAGTTGAACAGATTTCAAAAAGCAGCTTGAGAATACAAAGTATTAAGATGAAACGTACAGAAAGCAGGGATTGGAGAATAAAAAGAACTCTCTTGGCATTTCCAAAGCTGAGAGACCTGAAGAACAAATTCAAACCTAAAGTTTCAATCCTGAGATATGCCATGGACAAAATCTTGAATTATCCAGGAAGAATCAAAATAAAATAGAAAGAATACACTATGTCACCATAGTGAAGCAATGTTAATACATTAAGAAGTTAAAGTTTCTCTGAAGGTATGGGCTAAAAATAAGTCCCCAGGAATTGATATATATGCAACTGATGTATTTTTACAAATAGATGGAGCAACTCACCAGGTTGTGACAAGAAATTTGGATGACATACAGACCCAGTCAACTGACGGAAGAGATCCGTATTTGTTCCTATTCCCCACCCAAAAAAGTTATACAACATAATGTGGTATTTTTTAATCAATATAAAATACAAGCAAAATCTTGCTAAAAATTGTTATAAAACACCTAGAACAGTACATTCACAGATAACTGTCAGAATTTCAAGCTGAACTTAGAAGAGACTGCAGCACCAGGCACCAGGGATATCATAGCTGATGTCAGATGAATCTTGGCTGAAAGCAGAGAATGCCATAAATTTCAGTTTGTGTTTTATTGACTATTCAAAAGCATGTGACTGTGTGGTTAAACAAATTATGGCTAACATAAAGAAGAATGTGAATCCCAGCACGTTTAATTATGCTAATATGAAATCCATACTTAGACTAAGAAGCTGTGGTACAAACAGAATGAGGAGAAGGAAGATATGTGTCAGGGTTGTATCCTTTTTCCATATATTTTCCTATCTGAATACTGAATAGACCATCTGGGAAGCTGAACTTCAGCAACCTGTGCTATGCCGATGACACAACCCAGCTTGCTGAAAGTGAGGAGGACTTGAAACACTCTCTGCAGAAAATAAAAAACAATAGACTTCAATATGAATTACCTCTCAGCATCAAGAAAACAAAAATCCTTATAATGGGTTAATAAACAACATCATGACAGATGGAGAAAAGATTGAAGTTGTCAGTAATTTAATCTTACTTGGATCCGTAATCAACATTCTTTGTACCAACAGTCAAAAAATCAATAGGTGCATTGCACTGGGAAATCTGTTGCCAGAGACCTCTCCAGAGTACTAAAGATTAATGATGTCAGCTTTTTAAGCTAAGGTATGCCTGGTCTAAGCCATGATCTTTTCAATTATTTGCTGTGAATCTGAAAGTTTGGCAATAACTACAGATGACAGAAGAAAGACTAATGTCTTTGATCTGTGATGTTGAAGAAGAGTATTTCCCATAACTAACAAGAAAAAGAAAAAAACAGGTAGACCTTGGAGAAAGCAAGACCAGGGTTCACCTTGGAGGCAAAGATAATGAAACTCTGTCTCACATACTTGGAAATGTTGCTAGGAGGGCCCCGTCCTCGGAGAACTGTATTATTCTTGAGAGGGTGGAGGGACAGTGCAAAAGAGCAAGGCCCTCAACAAGGCTGATTGACACAGTGACTGTAACAATGGGCTCAGAGATGGTGAGGATGCCACAGGGTAGGCCAAGATTCAGAGCTGTGTTTATTATAGGTTTTCTATGCGTTACAGTCAACTTTTGCTAGCACATAACAAATCTGCATATTTCTACATGTGGTGAGGAGATGTGCTGTAGACCCACAGACATGCAATTGGAACTTACCAGCTGCTTCAGGGGAGAAAGATGAGCAACCTTCTCCAGTGTGATTTCCAACCTCTGAAAACCTGCTGCAAGGTCATCTATGAGTCTGCTCCAACTAGACAGCACATAATAACAATAGTCCATTTGATGGCATCTAACTACAAGTTTTTGGACCAGGGCCTGGCAGCAGCAGAGGCTCAATCAATCTACCAGTGTGATAAATAGTAAAGGAGCAGTGTGCTGAGGCCTGGTGCTGAAGGTGCAGGTCCCTTACCACAGAGGCCTGGAGTCTGGTAAGCGAGGCAGTGCAGGGTACCATAGACACACCTGCAGAGTCGGCAGCTGCTGATAGTCCAAACTCCATGCGCTTGAACACTGCATGTGCTGGGGGTGCAAGGGGTGTGGTGTCAGTGCTGTCAGAGGCACAATTGCATCCTCCTCAGTGCTCAAGGGTCGCCTAAGTGCCTTCTCCCCTGCCCCTGCCCATCCTATCATTCTAGTCTCCCTCTCTGCCCTGTTCCTGCCTACCAGCAGTCTCCAGTACACTATTACCCCCCTGCCACCCTCCTCCACACCTCCCTGTCCTACTACACTCCCTCACATCTTAGTCCTCCCTCCCTGCCCCAATGCATTGAGCACCTGCTTCTCTGGTCTTGCTCACAGTGGCGGCCAGTGAAGTGGACAGGGCACACACAGAAGCTGCCCAGGATGCAAGTGCCACCATTTTGGCAACATCGAAGAGGCTGGGACTGAGCTGCATCCCTGTCTTCCAAGTTACCCTTGGCCTGGAGAAGACCTAAAGAGATTGCCCCAAGGGAGGCCATAAAATCAGCTCCTGCCTTTGTGTTTGCCTAGGTAAACCTGCTTATTAACTTAGGAATGAAAAAACAAACTGCCAGGGGTGCAGCTAATCAGAAAGGAAATAATGATTTGACAGAAGCCCAGTTCCCTAAGAATCCATTTCTTTCTTCTTTCCTTGGCTGTTAGATCACCTGACAGTGATTGACAACAGGCCTCCTAAACAAGGACCACACATGAGGTGAAAATTCCAAGTGTTGGCACAGCAGGTTTCCAGCCTGGAACTTGAAAATATATGATTAAACCAAGCTGTTACCTTGGTTTCGGATCTCCCCCACCCCGGCCCTGCTATGTCCAAGTCACAAAACTTTGGACCTACCAAAAAAATACTCATTGCAATTTTAAAGTTTTGCCAATGAAACAATAAGACTTTTTCAGGGCAAAAAACACTAGGATAGATTGTTAATTTTATAATGTTTTATAATGATGGCAAAATATCCCTACTTGGGCTTTTCATTTTTAATTCTTAATTTATCCCAGATTTCCCAGATCCTAAACTAGTTGGTAGGCTCAATAGGAGTGCAAAGACCTCTGACTTACGTTCTCTGAAGCCCCAGGAATGGTGAAAGGAATCTGCTGGTGGTCCCTCCCAGTCCTCTGTGCTTACATTTACTTCACTAAAATTATTTAGGATCCAACTGAGTGTTCTCTTCTGGCCCTTCTGGGCTGTAGCATTGTTGGCGTCTTCTTTATGGTCTTTGTGTATCTCTCCTTGGTAAGCTTTTAAAACACATCAAAAATATGTTTCATTACACTGATAAAAATTGAAAAAAATTAAGAAAATTTAAATAAAATCCTTCTTACTATTTCCCAAATAGATGATCTGTATTGCCAAACTGATCATAAACAGAAGCCTAGGGTTTAAAAAAAAGTATTGACGTTTAAAACATGACATTATGTAAGTAGAAATTCAGATGCATAATATGCAATTTAATAATTCTAAATAACATGTTTTTACACACTAAGTATATAAAATAGTTAATATATAATAAATACATGCAATGTTTCTGTCACTTATGGATTTTTATTAACATTGTAGCTTAAAAGATTTTGAAACAGAGAAGGTTTGCACTTAAATTTGGAGGAACAGTCATAAATGCATTATAACTTATTCTGGATGATTCTGAAATCCCCTCCTGGCTCAGGGATCCAGATAACCTCTATCCTTACCTGACATGGTAGTCCAGCTTCATTCTTCCACTGACATTACTGGTATGAGACACAGCTCCTTCTCTCATTAGTGCAGTGAAGGTTAAGTCCTAGCAGTTTTTTAATGTATTAAACTCCAGACCCTGGATCAAGAAAAAAAATGGTTAAGTTCAGAAGACTCAGAAATCTGTGTTCCTCTGTCTAGATCACAAGCAGTAGACAAAAGAGCTGAATTCTGCTGTCTTCCCTTTTAGGCTAGGGTTTCCTTGGCCGTGCACAGGACGGCCTTCAGCCCATTTGAGCTGTGGGGGTGGAGACTTGGCCAGATCTACCAAGTTAGCAGGGATGGTCCATTTCTGATTTAAAACACTGGTAACTATGATAAGGCTCTCTCACTTTAAAAAAGAGATGGAAGGGAGGGGAAGGGAGGGGAGAGGAGGGGAGGGGAGGGCAGGACAGGGCAGGGGAAAAAAGACATCCCAATATGAACAAGAGAGTGTTCATAGAAAAATGAAGGTTACATATTGCAAATACTTTATACTCAAAGATAGTGAGGAAGAAGAGCCAGAAAAGGGGTCTGCAGTGTGGGATATGAGCTCAGCTCTGAATAGTCTTGGGCAGGAAATACAATAATTAGACTTTATAGGCAAACCTCTCAACACTTGCTTTCAGAAGCTGGGTTGCTATTTCCAGCATGATAAGCTGCATGTCATAGGTATTATCTATTTACTAGAGTATCCTCTGACTAACATTAGTTCTATCTCCCATGAAAAAGGTAAGAAGCATCGGCTAAGGACTTTAAGTTTCCTCCTGCAGGTAGGTTTGAGCAAGCACACAGCGACTCAACAGCACCTAACAACAACAACAACATAAAAACAATAACTCAATAAAAAACTCAGCAACTAAGTACTCAACTTTCTTAGTCTTCTCGCACTTTTTTCTTAGAGTTTTAAAAGTGAAATATGTTTAATATTTCAAATAGGAATTTAAAAATATGCCCTTTATAAATGAGAATTGTAGAAAATACAAACAAAAATTACTCAAAAGACATAGGCAAGTAATAGCCAAACAGCATGATACTGGTACAATGACAGGCACTCAAACAAATAGAATAGAATCAAAAATTCACAATTTAACCCATCCACCTATAGACAACTGGTATTTGACAAGGTAACAAAACCAATCAAATAAGGAAACAATTTCTTCAACAAATGGTGATAACAAAACTGAACTTAAGATCATCAGAGGGACCAAACTCAGAAGGCCTACCCTAGAGCATAAATGGACTTGCAAATATAACCAGAAACACACAATCTTAACATCAATGAATGGGACCTTCTAAAAAATTAAGTCCCTGGGTACATCAAAACTTTTTCCAATAAGGTGAAAAGAAAGCCTACTGACTGAGAAAAAAATATTTGGCAATATCATCTCAGAGAAGGGTCTCATAAAAAAAGGTTACAGAATACTACAGGGCCTCCAGAAGAAAAAGAAAACCCAATTACAAAAAGAGCAAAAGACAAGATTATAAAAATTAGAGCAGAGATAAATGAAATAGAAAATCGAAAAGCAACTGAAACTATCAACAAAACTAGGAGTTGGTTCTTTGAAAAGGTCAATAAAATTGAGAAACCATTAGCAAAATTCACAAAAGAAAAGAAGGAGAAAACACAAATAATCTGAATAAGAGATGAATCAGGCAACATCATAACAGACCCAATTAAAATTAAAAAGTTAACATTAGAATATTATGAAAAACTATACTCAAACAAATATGAAAACCTTGAGGAAATGGACAAATATTTAGAAACACACAA